TGAACTAATTATCTAGTGACCCAATTGCTTATTAATTAATTAAGGGATACAATCTCTTCTCATGGATGAGACAAATGTCATGTTCTTCCTCATTGGCCTAGCAGTCCTTCTTCATAATGATGTTCCTGTAATAATGGAGGATAAACGATAGATGGAACGATAGATGTTCCTGTAATAATGGAGATGTCCACAAAGAGACATCTTTAAAGAAAAACAAACAAAACTCATAAAAATGTATTTGGAAGATTGCATTCCCCTTCCCAAGCCCCGCTCTGCTGTGATTAAATCGGAGGTGGCTGCCTTCAGAGGGACCAGTAATTGGAAATGCCTGAAGCTCCTGGCAGCTGTGCTGGGAGACTGCCAGGAGAGGAGCAGTGCGACTGCATATCAGCACTCAGGTCGTGTCGGTGATGAGCCAGCTCCAGGCCGTGTCGGTGATAAACCAGCTCCAGGCCGTGTCGGTAATGAGGCTGCAGCTCCAGGCTATGTCGGTGATGAGGCAGTTCCAGGTACTGGTGGTAATGAGGCAGCTCCAGGTACTGGTGGTAATGAGGCAGCTCCAGGTACTGGTGGTAATGAGGCAGGTCCAGGTACTGGTGGTAATGATGCAGCTCCAGGCCATGATGAGGCAGCTCCAGGCTGTGGTGGTGATGAGGCAGCTCCAGGCTGTGGTGGTGATGAGGCCGCAGCTCCAGGCCATGTCGGTGATGAGGCAGCTCCAGGCCGTATCATTGATGAGCCAGCTTCAGGCCAAGTCGGTGATGAGGCAGCTCCAGGCCATGTCGGTGATGAGGCAGCTCCAGGCTGTGGTGGTGATGAGGCAGCTCCAGGCCATGTCGGAGATGAGGCAGCTCCAGGCCGTGTTGGTGATGAGGCAGCTCCAGGCTGTAGTGGTGATGAACCAGCTCCAGGCTGTAGTGGTGATGAGGCAGCTCCAGGAAGTGGTGGTGATGAGGCCGCAGCTCCAGGCTATATCAGTGATGATGCAGCTCCAGGAAGTGGTGGTGATGAGGCAGCTCCAGGCCATGTCGGTGATGGGGCAGCTCCAGGCTGTGGTGGTGATGAGGCAGCTGCGGCGTAATCACCGACATGGCCTGGAGCTGCCTCATCACCAATACGTCCTGGATCTGACTCATCACTGACATGGCCTGGAGCTGCGGCCTCATCAGGCTGTGGTGGTGATGA